GGAGGTTCTTCTTAGGAATCTTGGATGGATTTTAAGCAAGGGGATGTCAGGGCAGATTTATATTTTTAGATCACTCTAGCAGTTGGTGGAAGGATGGCTTGATATTGGGAGTGAGAATGGAGGCAGAGAGACTTGTTAGGAGACAGTGAAGACCAGGTAAGCGATGCTGAGCTTGAGCCTGGGCACAACGGAGCGTGCGATGGAGGCCACACAGGTAGAACTCGCTGAAGACTGGATTTCCTAGCCTAGGAAGTCTGTGCCTCTTGACCAGCAGGAAAGCCCAAGGTCCAGGCAGGGGCTTGGCCAGTAGGAGGACATGAGACCTGGGGCTGAGGAAGGTCAATGAGGGCTGTGGCCATCCCACTTCCTCTCCAGGATCTACTATAACGTCTCCAGGGAGCCTGTGGTCATCAACAAAGTCTTCAAGGACTGGAAGCCTGGGGGTGTCATCAGCTGCAAGAACTGTGGGGAGGTAAGAGCTTGGGCCATGTCCCAGGCCCCAGAGTCCTCAGCCCCAGTCTTCAAGAGGCCCTCACTAGGACAGGGGAGACCGTCCCACCCCATGGCCTCCAGTCTGAAGAGGGAGGTCCAGCCCCTGTCTAAGGGAGCCCAGTGTATGACAGCCTCAGGTGGGAAGCAAAGGTCCTGTATTCACGGAATTCCCACTTGAGGGAATCCCAGTCCGAGGCCAGAGACCCAGACCCTACTCTCTCTATCTCACCCCAGGTCTGGGGTCTGCAGATAATCTACAAATCGGTGAAGCTACCAGCGCTCAAAGTCCGCAGCATGCTTCTGCAGACCCCTCAAGGGCGGATTCAGGCCAAAAAGTGGTCCCGCGTGCCCTTCCCTGTGCCTGACTTTGACTTCCTGCAGCACTGTGCCCAGAACCTGACGGACCTCTCCTTGGACTGACCAGCTCATTGCTGCAGTGCCCGGCTCGGGCTGTAGGGGGCGGGAGAGTCCACAGCTGCAGTCGTCTTCCCCCAAACACAGCCTGGTCCAGGCCCCTCCTCTGGAATCACCAGCTGTGGGCATCAGGTCCACCAGGCACAGAGGAGTCCTGGGCATCCTGGCTTAGGCTCCCGAAATGGGGAAGCAGCTGGAGGGCCAGACCTCAGCCCCAGACCCACCTTGCACACACATAGACACTTTCATATGCACTGGATGGAGTTGGGGAAACAGAGGCAAAAGGAATTGCCACACTTTGGACTTGGCTGCCATTAAAAAAAATAAAAAAATAGCTGGTCTGAGTGCAGTGGTGTTTACAACTAATTGATCACAACCAGTTACAGATTTCTTTGTTCCTTCTCTACTCCCACTGCTTCACTTGACTAGCCTAAAAAATAAATAAATAAATAAATTGCTATACTATACTCTGAATCATCACATTCTTTCCCTACCAAGGCCACTTCTAATTTTTGAGGCTCTTTATAAAAATGAAAAATGGGTGCCGGGTGCGGTGGCTCAAGCCTGTAATCCCAGCACTTTGGGAGGCCGAGGCAGGTGGATCACGAGGTCAAGAGATCGAGACCATCCTGGTCAACATGGTGAAACCCCGTCTCTACTAAAACTACAAAAAATTAGCTGGGCATGGTGGCACGTGCCTGTAATCCCAGCTACTCAGGAGGCTGAGGCAGGAGAATTGCCTGAACCCAGGAGGCGGAGGTTGCGGTGAGCCGAGATCGCGCCATTGCACTCCAGCCTGGGTAACAAGAGCGAAACTCCGTTTCAAAAAAAAAAAGAAGAAGAAAAATGGGGTAGAAAATGTGTGGTGTCTTAACTTTGTTGGAATATAATTGGTAGAAAATAAACTGCACATATAGTGTGCAATTGGATACTTTTTTTTTTTGAGACAGTTTCACTCTTGTTGCCCAGGCCGGAGAACAGTGGCATGATCTAGGATCATTGCAACCCCCACCTCTGGGTTCAAGCGATTCTCCTGCCTCAGCCTCCTGATTAGCTGGGATTACAGGTGCGCACCACCACACCTAGCTGATTTTTTTGTATTTTTAGTAGAGATGGGGTTTCACCATGTTGGCCAGGTTGGTCTGAAACTCCTGACCTCGAGCGATCCGCCTGCCTCAGCCTCCCAAAGTGCTGGGATTACAGGCTTGAACCACCGTGCCCTGCCTGGATACGTTTTATCATGCATATCCTCCACAATCAAGATAATGGACATAGCTATCAGCCTCAAAATTTCCTTTCTTCCAGTGGAATTTTCAAAGAACAACAAAAGTTTCCTAGTTGCCCATTGTAATCCATACCTCTCACCCTTCCCCGTCTAATGACCTGCTTTATGGTAATTTTTAGTGTTAAGTGTTTGGTTTTTTTGAGACAGTCTTGCTCTGTCACCCAGGCTGGAGTGCAGTGGCGCGATCTCAGCTCACTGTAACCTCCGCCTTCTGGGCTCAAGTGATCCTCCTGCCACAGCCTCCCAAGTAACTGGGATTACAGGTGCCTTCCACCATGCCTGGCTAATTTTTGTTTTTTTGGTAGAGACAGGGTTTCACCATGTTGCCTAACTGGCTGGTCTCAAACTCCTGAGCTCAGATGATCCACCCACCTTGGCCTCTTAAAGTGCTGGGATTACAGGCGTGAGCCACTGAGCCCTGCTTTATATTTTATATTTTATATTTTTTGCTTTTGTTTTGTTTTTGAGACAGGGACTCACTCTGTCGCCCAGGCTGGAGTGCAGTAGTGCAATTGTGGCTCACTGCAGCCTTGACCTCCCAGGCTCCAGCAATCCCCCGACCTCAACCTCCTTAGTACCTGGGACTACAGGTGTATACCATCACACCTAATTTTTTGGGGGTAGGGGGCAGTGTATAGACAAGGTCTCACTATGTTGCCCAGGCTGGTCTCCAACTCCCAGGCTCAGGTGATCCTCCCAAAGTGCTGGGATTATAGGCATGAGCCACTGTGCCTGGCCTAGTGTTAAAAGTTTTCGGCCGGGCACAGTGACTCACCCTTGTAATCCCAGTACTTAAGGAGGTTGAGGTGGGCGGATCACCTGAGGTCAGGAGTTTGAGACCAGCCTGGCCATTATGGCGAAACCCCGTCTCTACTAAAAATACAAAAATTAGCTGGGTGTAGTGGTGACCACCTACAATTCCAGCTTCTCAGGAGGCTGAGTCAGGAGAATCGCTTGAACCTGAGAGGCAGAAGTTGCAGTGAGCTGAGATCATGCCACTGCACTCCAGCCTGGGCTGTAGAGTAAGACCCAATTCAGAAAAAAAAAAAAAAAAGTTTTAAACAAACACTCCCTTTTTTTTTGAGACAGAGTCTTGCCCTATAGCCCAGGCTGGAGTGCAATGGTGCGATCTCGGCTCACTGCAACCTCCGCCTCTTGGGTTCAAGAGATTCTCCTGTCTCAGCCTCCCAAGTAGCTGAGATTACAGGCACCCACCACCAAGCCAGGCTAATTTTTGTATTTTCAGTAGAGGTGGGGTTTCACCATGTTGGCCAGTCTGGTCTCCAACTCCTGACCTCATGATCCGCCCACCTGGGCTTCCCAAAGTGCTGGGATTACAGGTGTGAGCCACTGCACCCAGCCTAAACACTCCTCTTTAATGGCTCTCCTAAGCCTTATTCATAAAGAGTATCAACAGTCTCAACCTGAGGCCTATCGAGCTTGTGAGGGCTTCCTGCTCCCCCTTCCCCATAATAGCTTCCAACCCCAATGTACCCGCTCTACCTTCCGTTAACCTTCAGGTCATCTCCCCTAGGCTGGGGAGAAGCTGAGATCCAGCATTTGAGGGGTGGGCTCAGGTAGGCATGGGGGTGGGGAGAATTACAAAGGCCTAAATTTACTGTTCTCATTTTAACAAGAAAGGAAAAGAAAGGCAAGATCTAGGTTGATTCATCAGGGAAAGGGCTATTTCTGTAGTAAAAAGCCCAGCAGGCAGGAGGCACCTTCAAGAGGAAGGGAGGGGGCTAGGGCAGAGATTTGAGAAGATGGCAGTCCTTCCTGCCATCTAACCTCCTTCCCTCCTGCTACATCCTTGGTCCTGTCCCCAGGTAGATGGGAAATGCACCCTCTTTTCTCCCATCATTTTATTTTTTCTGTAGGCCTCTTGTCTGATTGAGGGCTGAAATTCCAGTTCTCATCTTTTTGGCTACCATCTCCCCTAGAGAGTGTACCCCTCTTCCCCAAGGCCCCTTTCCTCCTTCTCTCCAGGTGTCCTTGGCCCTGACTCCAGGACTCTCCTTCCTCCTCCCTCCTGTCCCATCTCCAGCTGCCTCCCCGGGAGAGAGTTGCTCATCCTCTCCCCACTTTGCCTTCAGTTAGTATACCGCCTGCCAGCAACGTGCTTTTTACAGGTCAATAAAATTAGCGACTGGGGGCAGAGGGAGGGGGCAGGGGCTCAGGGGTGCTAAGCTCAAGGGCCTTGAATGTGGCTAGACTCACGGAGTCAGGAAGCCTGTCATTCCAGGGCTAAACAGTGACAGCTGGGGGACCTGGGCTGGCACTAGGGGCGGAGCAGGGGCTGTGTGGCACGGAGGGAGATGGGCTGAGGATAAAGATGGGCTGGGTGCCTCATGGCCCCTCCGCAGCCTAAGCCCCTACATAGCTGACCCCTGGAGAGGGCACCCCACATTTAGAGGAGGTTTCCGGTCGCACACCCACCCTGCCAGGTCTGAAGAGCTCAGATGGAAAGGGGACAAGGACCCAGAGAGGTTTCTGAGCTTTCTTTTTCGTGTGAGGGGTCTTTATACGAAGTCACCGGCTCCAGGGCATGTGGGCACGGCTGTCTGAAGGGGGGATTTCCGCCCTGCCCCCGTCCCCCTCATGTGCCCGCAGTCCTAACTTCTCAGCCTTCAGAAGAACTCCAGCTCGGGGCCCTCCCTGTGGCCCAGATGCTCCCCCGGGACGTCCCACCAGAATGAGCCAACGCACCCCACCTGCGAGGCCGCGAGGAGGGGCCGGGCCCAGCTCCCCCTCCCAGCCCCGCCTCCGCCGCGCCGGGCCCCGCCCCTCCCGGCCAGCCCGAAATGCAGCGCTCCCAGCCAGGCGAGAGCAGGTGGCCGCGGCGGGCTCGGTCTCTGTCCCGCAGGTAAGACGGCAGCGCGGGCTGGTCCACGCCGAGGACCTCGAGGGCAGCGCGGGAGAACGGGGCAGCCCCTTCCACCTGTCCGGTCCTCTCGCCTCAAAACTGGGGGACCCCAGGGACAGTGAGGATATCCCTATCTCGGCTCTGCGCGCGACGTTGAGCATCTGCTGGGCAGGACTGAACTCTGGGGCAATTAGAGGGTCCTGGCTGGTTATCCCTAATGCCAGGCGGGCTCCGAGGGATGGAAAAGACAGAGCCAGGCATTAGACGCTCAGCTTTCTGGAGTGGGGCAGGTTGGGGATGGTGACGACAGGGCTCTGGAGTCAGGAACCTCGTTGACAGAGAGCGCGCCATGCCTCGTCCAAGGGCAGCCTCTTCCCCACGATAGAGGGTGATGGCTTGACCCAAACGGCTTCTGTTCTGTGGGATAATGAGGTAAGAGCCACCGCATCGCTGAGCTGGGTCCTGGGTTTTCTAACGAGCCCCTGGGCACCCGCATCATTTATTTATATCTGGGTACAGAGGGGGTAAGCAGGGGATTACCCCGATGGCCTAGGGAGCCCAGAAAGTCTGGGAACTTAGTAGATCTCTTTTGTGTCCGTGTCACAGAGCCGACTGGGGATCACAGAGGTGGCCTTATGGTAGACAGGGGAGCATTTGCATACTCAGTGTTGGGATTTGGGCTGTAGGAAAGGGGTCCTGCCTCCCAGGACCTTGAGGAAGGCTTCCTGGAAGAGGAGGACCTGGGCTGACAGCTTGGATGTGATGTGCTCAGAGCTCTGAGCCACTAAGGAGAGGCAGCCTTTGGGTCTCGGTGCTGGGTTGAGGTAGAGCAGAGGACCCTGGATTGTAGAACAAAGGGAAGTCAGGATGTTGCTGTCAGGATGTTGCTGGGGTCCAGCTGGGACCCCAGGGATCTTCCTGAGATCATCACAAGCCTTTGGACAGACATGGGTGACAATGGGGGGAGGGGATCTTCCCTTCCTCGTCTGTCTAGATTCCCCATTCCACTGCATCATTCCACCACAGAAGCCATCAGAGGCAGAAGTTCGTTCTCATATCTGACCTTCATCCCTTCTGCGTCTGTGCCAGCTTCTTGCTTCTGGGGGGCTGTGTGCTCTAGTGGAAAAAGTGGGGGCTTTGGGGTCAGACCTGAGTTCTAACACCTCTACCTACTTCGTGACCTTGAACAAGTTTCTTAACCTGTTTGAGCTCACCTCCTCACCTGTAAAATGGGGATAATAACAGAACCCACCTCATAGGATGGCTGCAAGGATTAAATGAGAGTACATATGCAGAGCACTTACCACAGTGACTGGCGCCTGGCGAGGGCTCAGAAAGTACGAGTGTCCCCTCATGTGTCTGACTGCAAAGCCAATCTGCAGGGGGTGAGGGCGAGCAGGGGAGGGGGGAGTAGAAGGGTTTTTTTGTAAAGCTAAGCTTGGCTAGAAAGAGTGCCCTTCACTGCATGCCTTATCCTCACCAGCCCCTCCCCGCTGCTGGCTCCTGGATCTCTGGACCTGTCTGGGCTGCCCAGGGCCCCTCACCTCTCAGTCACCTTGTTTGTGTTGCCTTTTGTCTCTGCAGGGGGGGAGAGGGCTCCCCCACCCCCACCCAAGGCAGGGACCGGTACCAGCAGGAGGTTATTTGGGGCTGTGCCTCAGTGGAACAAGTTCCGGCTTACAGACCCAGCCTGAAAAAAAAAAAAAAAAAACTCTGGTCATCCCCGCTCTGCCCTCCCCGCCTCCAGAAATCCACAAGTTGGGATCAAGCTGCACTAAATTTTTCCAGGAAGATAAATGATACAAGTGATTGAAAGTCCTGTTTGGGGATTGTCCAAGCTGTCCTCCAATGGAAAGACAACTTCAGGTCCTGGCCTGAGCTCTAGGCTGCCAGGGAAGGCTGGGTTCAGTAGCACCCTTAAACCTGGGCAAGGGAGGGAGTGCCCATGCCCTAAGCTGGGGGCTTTCAAAGGCTCCACTCTGGCCTCCTCCTGCCAATCCTCTCCCTGTGGGATGAGGAGTCAGCAGGGCCGAGGGGATGAGACTGTGAGTCCCCTCCAAGACCACATTCTCCATATCTGTGACTCTGGTGGTCCCTGCCCAGATGGTCACCATCTGGCTCCCAGCCCGTGCTAGCCTCTTCCTTGGGTCTGTCTGCCTCAATACTGTTTGCACCCCTAGGGACAGTGAAGGGACAGTTATTTGCAGGTGCTGTGGATGGAGCTGGAACATGAAGCTAGGTGTCCTCATACATGCATGAGAGTCCCTTGTGGTGCAGACAGGACCTGGCAGCAGGAAGGGGGTGGCCAGGTTGTGGGTGGAGCTGTCTCCTCTGCACGGAGTCGTTCTGGTGTGTAAAGCTCAGGAGGCAGACAAGTCCAAATTTGCATCTGGTCCTCCAGGTCGTTAATGAAGGTATATTTGTCAGGGTGAGAGGTTAGCACGTTTCACAGTTGGCTGGCTTGATTTGTAACTTTTAAATATTTGGACATATGTCTGGGGGTCGCCATTTGTCCCCCTGCCCCAGACCCTGCAAGTGTTCCAGGTGGGCCTGGCTGGGCCTGTGACTTCAGCTGCCATTTGGTTAATTCCTGCCCCACTCTCCCCGTCCCCCAATAGAGTAGCATCCCCATAAAACTGGGTTTAGAACATGTTCACCTGGACCAGGAAGGAGTTTCAAGGTGAAATGAAGATTGTCAGTTGTCACCAACAAGCAGTTCCCCTGTGGGCCTCCTGACCTCATTATCCACCACAAAACTGGGACATTTTTTTCTTAATGTCCTGTGATGCTTGAGAGGGAAGGGCTGGGGAGGAGAGGTGACTTCTCTCCCGTGTGTGGTGAGGGTGTGGGTCACTGGACCCCAGGAACAAGGAGGGAGCTAAAGGGGGCCGCAGCAGGAGGCAGGATGGAAGCTGGCCCAGGGAAAAGCCAGGTCTGGACCCCACTATCCCCTTCCGGCTGCCCTTCACAGAGGGAGCTGCGCCCACAGCCAGGGAGAGGGCCATGTGTCTATAATGTGGGTTCTCACCTGAGTTTGGAGTTTGGGCTTGGGACAGGGAAGAGTGTGGGGCCAGCTGGCCAGGCGGCAGGGGTCATCCCCACTGGGAATGAATGGCACACTGGTGTAGACTGTAGTCGAGTGCCCTGTGGCACCTGGGCACACCGTCTGTTCAGAAGAGCGGCAGAAACCTTTGTTGTGGCCATCTCTGCTCAGTGAGACCTGATTGGGCTATTTGAGGAACAGCCTGTCACCTTGGCCTCATTAGCACCGTGAGGCGCTTGATGGAACTGGACGCACACACATGCGTGCACATTCTCACAGACTCACCCAGGTCCGCATTCCCCCTGCACTAACTCCCAGAGGTCTGTGTATAGGGTTGTGTGCGCCTAAACCCCACGCCAGGTGCAATCTAGGGTGTGGCCACCCTTGCAGATCCACGCTGACACACATGGCTTGCAACGCCCACACCCTCACCCCAGTCGTACTCTCGCTGTCCCTTATTGGTGACTTTTCATTCACCTTGGGTGACCCGCCGGCTCCAGTGGCCAAGGGTTGGCTTACTAGAGGGTGGCTGGGGGCCAGACGCTGGCAGCGGTTGGTTCAGCTTTGGGGACAGGAGGCAGCAGCATTGCCCTGGTGAGGCCACCCTCGGTGGGGCTCAACCCCCCAGCACCGAGGCTCCCCTACATCTCCCAGGAGAGTGTCTTGGGTCCTGAGGCGGTCTGTCCTTGTGTAGTTCCTGTGAGCTTCTTTCTACTTCCCTCTGTGAGCGTGTCTGGCCCTGCGCCTCCTGCGTGCATGCACGTCTTTGTTCTCTGCTCCTGACCCCGTCCTTTGCTGTCTGTCTCTCCTCTCCACCTGTCTAGCCCTTTCTCTGTGCGTCTTTCTCGCTTTGTCTTTTCTTCTTCCTTTCCTCTGCCTCCTCTGTCTGTCCTTCCTCTCACTGTCCCTCTCTCACACCCCCGCTCTCAGTGTCTCACTCTGTGGCTGTCTCTCTGGGTGGGGCTTTCTGTGTCTTCACCTCTCTCCATTTCTGCCTCTCAGTCTAGACGTGTATCCTTCTGACTCTGCTTTAGTCTCTTGAGGAATCCCGGGAAAAGGATAGCCAAGAGTCATCCAAGCACTTTGGGAGGCCAAGGCGGGAGGATCACCTGAGGTCAGAAGTTCGAGACCAGCCTGGCCAAGGTGGTGAAAATATTGGCCCTTTTCTGTCTCTACTAAACATGCAAAATTAGCCAGGCGTGGTGGTGCATGCCTGTAATCTCAGCTACTTGGGAAGTTGAGGCAGGAGAATCACTTGTACCTGGGAAGCGGAGGTTGCGGTGAGCCAAGATCATGCCATTGCACTCCAAATAAAGAAGGTGATAATGCCTCCCAGGGGGCCATGATCACTTCTTGGCCCCTCCACTGCCAGGCAAGGAGGCAGGAAGGGGACTATCACGTACTAATGAGAGTGGATGGACCTGGCATGGTGGCTCACACCTGTAATCCCAGCACTTTGGGAGGCCAAGGTGGGCAGGCTGCTTGAGGTCAGGAGTTAAGAGGTCAGCCTGGCCAACATGGTGAAACCTCGTCTCTACTGAAAAATACAAAAAATTAGCCTGGCATGGTGGTACATGCCTATAATCCCAGGTTCTCAGGAGGCTGAGGCAGGAGAATTGCCTGGGCCTGGGAGGTGGAGTTTGCAATGAGCTGAGATCGCACCACTGCACTCCAGCCTGGGTGACAGAACAAGACCCTGTCTCAAAAAAAAAAAAAAAAAAAAAAAGTAAAAAGAGCTGCTGGCTCATCTCCAGATCCTCTGTTAGGAACGAAGGGGTTTTGGCTCTGACTCTGAAACGTTCTTCAGAGATGAGGCCCAGGGTCACAGGCCTGGGAGCAGGACTGGGGGTTCAGAGTCATCACTCTGGGAGAGAGCCCTTGTCTCTCTGGTTGACCTGATTGACCTTGAACCAAGGGAAGGGCATTGGGACTTGGAGTCTCCTTCAGAAGAGGCATT